CCGCTCTTCACTGCAAGTCAGTTTTAGGGGCTGCCTAAACAAACTGGCACTAGGTGAACTAAAGATCTGTCTTTGAATGAATTGTTAAGCGTCTACAAGAACTAAGTCTAATTTATTTCTGTCAAAGGGAATACTCTCTTTCATAATACTTTTTTAAACAGATAATCCTCTCCCATAAAGGGCTAAAGCCAACCTTGGAATAATTTAATAACTGGTTTAAAATTTCTTTAAGTAAACTCATAGAAATTTGTATGCTGAAAGGCTTCAATTTAAAGGTACCTGTTGCAGAACACAAAACATGCGCCCATGAATTGCTGAAAAGTCAAAGGATGAGCTAAATGAGTTTGCCCTCAACAGTATGTTAATAAGCCCTCAATCTGCAGTAACAGAATTGCTGTTATCATGAGAATAATTTAAAAGGCTAGCTATGAACCCAGACGTAAAATGGACTTCTGAGAAGAAATGTTAAGCAGACTACGAGCTAAAGAGCCACTCAACACGAGTAGAGAACTGAATCTTGAAAAACAACCCTTCTGACAGCAGACACTACAGTTAAGTTTACAAAACTTTTAAAGATATGAACATGGCAACATATACACAGTGCAACTTTCCTAATTTTTGCTTTCTTATTTTCTTGGGATATTTAATTAGCAAATAAAGTTTCTCATTATGGTAAATGAAGCAAATTGAACACAAAAATTATAACTTCATTGTAGCATGCACCAATCAATAAGATTTTAAGCATGATGTGAGTACTACTGAAAGAATTAAATTAAGTAGTGTTCAGAATAAAATTAATTAAAAGTATCTTATTAGAATTACAAAGTAGTGGTGTACCAGATGAAGACTGCTGGTTCTGCCTTCTGTACTGACGTCTCTGCTGCACAGAATCTGCAGCAGCCATTTTACCACCTTTATCTTCTTCTGAAAAATATATGCAGATTTGAAAACCACATTTCAGTTTACAAAGAAGCTACTGAGTCAGATAAAATACTTATTTGTAAAACTACAATAGATCAAGTGTAATTTTTACTGTCTACATATTTAAAATTAATCTCTTTGTATTTTTTGTTCTGGCTGATGTTTTTGAAACAGCTTATGGAAGAGTTCAGAAAAATGGTCACCCTATTTGCCTTATGAGCACTTGAGAACTCTTGCTTTAAATGCCAATAAGTCCAAATGACTGCAAGGCACGTACAAGAAACATACCATGATTCTTTATGATTTTTAAGCCACTTAAAAGAAAAATCATTGTAAATGAGAACTTTACCTGATTCAGACAATTCTACTTTCCTAGGCTTTGGTGCTGGTGATGGAGACTCTCTTTTTTCAGGATTCTTATGTTTAGGTGCTAAAAGACAAAAAATTAGCACACAGGAAAAAGTTGATTAACTATGATTTGCAAACAAAACAAAACAAAACTCAGGATGCAATTAAATTTTCATAAAAATATGGCAGTTTCCATCTTATGCCTATCAATTCTTGGAGTTACTTTATAGACTTTCCTGCCAGATTTTGTAATTAAAAAAAGAAGATTGCATTTTTAAACAGAAGTGTATTAACTACGTTACTGATGTCTGAAATTACAGTAAACTGAGGAGAAGTTTAAAATGTTCTTTTTCCTATTCACACAAAGTTACTAATATTATGAGAATGCAGTCTAGGATTCTAGACAGATGAAACATTTGCATTAATGTAAGCAGCAGGGATCCTGGTTTCCTGCCCCCACCCCCGATTTTAAAAAGTCCCAAATTCTCTGATAAGACCCCAAAATCCATAATTAAAATACCCCAGTTGATATGGAGGACGGAAAGAAAGAGAGAAAAAAAAATAACAAAACAAAACTCCTGGAAGAGTATACTCTAAGAGGCCTCGCCGTCGCTGAGTAGTTTCTTCGTGGTTTGCCAGTACAGGTGTTTCACTGCTTTGACAATGTTGTGAAACTGTGTTTTTCCCTGTCTCGGCAGCTCAGTAGCAGCCGTGCAGTTAGAACACTTGGGTTTCTCTTTTGTCAGGTTTGTACTTTGTTTCTGTACTGTCAGCAAAACCGCAGGTATGGGTATTACAGTGAGAAATTTCTTCCTGATATCTACCCTAAACTTCCCTTGCTGCAACCTGAGCCCATTGCTCCTTGTTCTGTCATTTGCCACTGCTGAGAACAGACTATGCAAAATTCAAAACTGAGTTAACTTAAGTCAGTCTAGTGGAGAATTACCCTTGGAAGAACTGGTAGTAAAATTTTACAGGTGTACATTACACTAACTCAGGTTTTGCCTTTCCATATTTACCCTGGGGTAGTCATTTGTTCAGAGCAAGCAGGTCATTCCCTGTACTGCTGCCACCCTGTGGGGAGACGCAGGAATGCTTCCTATTGCATGAGCAACCCCAGGACATCTACACATCTGAAGTTACACTGCGATCAGGGACAGGCATCAGTACAGAAAACCCATGTAAATTATTCATGTGACCAAGGGCTTAGAATTGTATTGTAGTTTAATTACCAGGCATTTTTGGAAGAGATTCTTTCTTTTAGGAAATGCATCTCATCATGATTTTAACTAACTTAATTCAACTATGGTACAATTTAATATCTCAGTATACATTTCATAATTAAGAGTTTTGATATTAAAAGACCAGATTTAATAAAATGTCTATTCAACAACTGCTCTACTCTGAAAACACAATCGTTTGAGGCAGACTAGTTTTGGGGTAGGAAAGGACAGCTAAATAACTTGTTTGAGTTACCTAGTTTCAAGCTAGATCAAGCGTTCCTAGCAATATAGCCGTGATCAACACAGCGCACAGCTCAGTGCATGCTAACTATGCCAAGTATTTATTCAGTGTCTTGAGATGAGTTTTATAGTCTACAATGGAGTTCCTTATTATGCGAGGCTGCATTAAACTTGATAGCTCAGGTACGTTTACACTACGTCATGGTCAACAGCGGCTGAGGCAGAGTGTAGATGTACTCTGTGTGAAGGAAAAAGTGCAAAATGGTTTAACGGAGGGGGAAAGAGAAACACATGCACACATTTGACCTTACCTGATGTTCTGCCTGGAGAAACAGAGCCACGGCCTTTTCTTGCACGATTCGTCTGTTGTGGGGTTGGAGACCTACGGGGTTTTGGTGGTGGACTCGCTGGTGGGGATGGTCTGTGCCTCCGCCTTGGAGGACTTGCAGAAGGGGAGAGTCTACGCGTCTTACGAGGAGGACTGGATACAATTCTTTTTGGTGGTTTCTTTGGTGGTGATCGCGAACGCGAAGAGGAAGAAGATGAACTACTTCCAGATAAAGATGCTGATGACCTTCTTCTCCTGCAAATTCAAAGTTAATATTAGGTTCTGATTAAGAACACTGTTTGAAGTGTGCAAGTGTTAATATCGGACTTCACTCGTGTGCAAGCATTTTTATATCGAGAAATACAACAGTACTTCCAAAAAAACTGGCAAATACGCCACATATTTGCTCTGTAAAGGCAACTAAACTCAAACTACAAAGTGCACACAAACAATTTGTTAGTGATACCTTTTTGTTTCCTTTCTGCAAAACTGCAAAAAATGCTGAGCTTTTTTTGGAGACGCATGTTTTATTTAGGCTCCAATTTCTCAATTATTGAATCTTCCATAGCAGAACCAGATTTACTGGACCTCAAAAGCAATCTATTCAACAGACTTATATAGCGAAGAACCAATTTCAAAAACGCTTATAGAAAAATTTAATACCAGGAAGCAAAAAATTCTGTCAGGCAAGTTATAATTTGTAACTGTTTATCTTCAGACTTGTTAAACATAAAAACTCAAAAAGATAGGCTCTCTAGAATTCTGCGGCAAAATTTGTGGTAAGTTCTGTTGCAACTGTGTACCTGCAGAATCCACCTTTGGCAGCAGAATTGCTGAGAACCTGAAAAAAAGAAACCCTATCTTGAGCGAGAAAACATGCTGAAAAGGCGTACTTGTACAACTTGTAAAATAAAGTTTTGTTACTTTTACAGTAATTGTAAGTCTGGAACATTTTTTTAAACAAACTTAAAAAAATATGAGAATCTAAGGAAAACAAGGCTCAAAACTCCAAAGAAAATATTGCTCTATCATTCTTATGTCTGCTGAAAACCAAAGTTTACTATTTTCCCACTACTGTGAAAGTCTGATACACACAGCAGCAGGAACAACAATGTATTTTTGCTACTACAATTGTTTAAAGGGTAGCAAAGGAGTAAATTCCTAGCAACACTGAGCAAAAGGACCATTAAGAAGAGATTGGACCAAGTTCTTAAAAAGCCAGTTTTATAAAAGAACAGTAGATAAAATGAGAAATAAAAAGGTGAAACTTTGACTACATCATCCCAAGAGTGAATCATGTGCAATGGAGTAATGACTGAAGGGTAGGGCTGTGCGAAGCTTCAGTTGCCAATTCGATTCAACAGAGATTTGGCCTGATTTGGTGGCCAAATCTCCTATTCTGAATCGAATCAGAAGACCCATTAATCTCTCTGAATCGAATCGGAACCCTCTGAATCGATTCGGCAATTCGGATTTAGACACAGCTTTAGCTATTTTTCCTACGTACCTCAAGGTCCTAGGCAGTTTGTGAACACAGATGCTGGGGCACGTGGAGCATCCCACAGGAATTTGGGGGGGGGGGGGGGGGGGGGGGTGTCACCAGCATGCTTGGCAGCAGAACTGGAAGCGGACGAGAAGCACTTGCCCCTCCATGGCCGATCGCTGAGCTGGGGAGGTGTGGGGGGCCCCCAGCGTGCTCCACGGCGGACCCAGAAGTGGACTGGAAGTACTTCCGGTCTACTTCTGGGTTTGCCGCTGAGCATGCCGGGGGCCCCCCCACGCTCCTGTGGGATGCTCCATCTGCCCCAGCACCACAGCAATCACAAGCCATGCCTGCTACCTCAAAGTATACAGAAAAAACAATTTAAAGCTGTGTCCATGGCCAAATCCCTGATTCTTTGAATCAGCATTGAATCTTCAGATTCAGCCAAATTGAATCAGGGACAGCAATCTGAATTCGAATATGAATCACTGTCCCCGATTTGGGCTGAATCCGAATTGAATAGGACCTGTTTCGCACCCCCCCCACTGAAAGGTCCCAAGCCAGAAAAATAAAATCATACATATTTAAGTCCTGAACCAATCCACTGCCAGTTGCACTTAAATGCAACAATAATGAAATCTTAAGCAATTACAGGAGATTGGCAAATAAAAACATTCCCACTTACAACTGCTCAAAATTATCCATCAGACATACTTAAAAATAATTTATGGTCTTTTGATACCATGCCAGATAACTGCTTTTGCAACCCATGTTTTGAAAAGCATTGTGATGCTAATCAGTTTCATTTTACAGCTCCTATGATCGCAGCTACGAAAAGCAGCAACTTTTACATTAGTTGGCATACCGCAATACTCATCACCTATGATTAACCAAGTTATCTTTGATAATACAAAACACAGTCCAGAGAAACTTCTGAGGCCATGTAACATGAACACATTTTTAAAACCTTGTGACACCTTTCAAAAACTTTTTTTTTTTTTTTAAAGAAGACTCGTACCTTCTCACTGGGGATCTGCTTCTTCTGTGTCTGGGTGGTGGAGGCATTCGCCTTGGAGGGCTTCTTCTCCTGGGAGAGGGCCGTCGTCTTGGGCTTGGCCGCCTTCTAGGGGAGTAAGACCTGTCACAATCAAAAATTCAATGAACAGCAACTTCCTACGATTTACTGACTGTAGGTAGCTTGATTTACAAGAAATCAAGAGGGAAGTTGCTTTGTAACATGCACATCATACAAGCTGTGTTTTTACTGTAATAAAAGTGTTGCCTTTCAGCCATATCAAGAATGTCAAATTCCACTAAAAACCCTTTCTGATAAGCTGAGCAGTCCAAAGAAGAAATTAAAATCCAAATATTTTTAGAAGGAGGTTGTGAAATTGCCAGCAGCTGCTGAATGCCATATTCAGGATTAAGTAACCTTTCCCAGCCTGAGTGATATTTTAAGTATATACCGTATAGCAGGATAGAGGACTATTGAATATTCTCATGTTCAGTATGTTCCGATTCTTTTCCCTCAGAGTTGACCTAAAACACTGTGGTCTCACTTCCGACTAAAAATTTTTGGTAATCTAAGGAGAATACCATGGTGGTATTTTTATAACTATTTTTGACAATAACTCCATGAGTTGTGTAACTGGGAAAATGTAACAAAATTGATTCAGCTCCTATCGCTTTATTTTCAAAGACAGAATTCACTTTACCTTGACCTTGATCTATGACGCCGTCTTGGTCTAGAATGAGAAGGGGACCGAGACCTTGACCTTGACCTTGACTTGGACCGAGATGGTGATCTCTGACGAGGCTTCTCTTTTTCTTTTTCTTTCTCCTTCTCTTTTTTTAAACTTTTTTCTGGAGAAGTTTCTTTAGTATCTGGTACAGGCTCAGGTTTAGGAGCTTTTAGGATATCACTGTTAAATTAAAAAACCTACAGTATAAATGTGTACCATGTGTAAAAATCTTCATTATGTTTGTAAACAACCTCTGCCAGTGCTCTCACTCATAAGGATCACTATGAACACCACACTCAGTGGACCATCCCTTATCTCATTAAAATTCCACTGTGTAATCAGACAACTTATGGTCCAAAGTAAGTATTTACTTTTTGCCAAAAAGGTTATTAAAACAATATATAGATCACACATTCATTTCCAGTGGAATACAAAAATATTGAAGAATGGAACTGAATAATAACCAAATAGAAACACGGGGGGGGGGGGGGGGGGGGGGGGGGAATCAGTATCTCTGGGATGACATTTATGATAATGGTGAAGCTGTCCATTACTTAGCACTCAGTCATGTAACAATTACAAGGAAAATGAAATAAGCTAAATGAATATTGATAAAGGAAAGGACACAGCTAGAATAATGCAACTAAGTATCAGCGAAACAGTCTGCTTTTCCAGAGATTCTCTCTCAAGTATTCCACATGGAAACAAATGTTCTTGAGGATGACATTTGCAAATTCATACACCATATAAAAAGTGGCGAATTTTTTTTGATGTGTAGCTGTTTTCTACATTACTATTCTAGCATCAAGATCTAAAATTACTCCATTACTCTACAGAATAATAAGAATTCCCTATGATAAACGAATTCCAAGGTACAAATCAACTCTGGTACTTGCCTAGTTGAGGTTGCCTCTTGAATCAAAGTTTCCTTTGCTTTTACAGAAGGCTCTGGCTCTGGAGTCTCCTCTTTCTTTTCTGGTGCGGGGGTGATGCTACGGCTCTTAGTTCTGTGATGAGGGGATCGAGAATGGCTGCGTTTTCTCTCTCTCCTGACAGGGGACGATCTCCTTCTAGGAGAAGGAGATCTTGATTTGCGTCTAAGAAGAAGAATTCACATTCAAATACTGCATCCTTTTGGGAACACACTTAAAAAAATTAAATCCCATACATGTTACAGCCATGCTCTCTACTCACTGTATAAACAAAATGCAGAATTGTTCTGGATTTATTTTTTATAGCATTTAAGTTTAGACTGAAGTCAACTGCAGTTAACAGAAAATCTGGACAAAAGCTATTATCACTGAAAATGGCTCTCACTGTGACAATGCAACATCCTTACAATTACAAACATTGCTTATGCCACTATTCCACTCATTTATCTTCTATTAATATACGGTAATAAGTTGGACTGATTGTAAACATGTAGGATGCTTTTCTGAAGCTTCCTGATTCCCATAAAAATGTCCATGGCCATATACTCTCTACCTTTAAAGCTGTTTGTACAATTTGCATTACTGCTACATTTTTAAAGTTACCACTGTATTAAATACAACCTTCTTGGGCTTCTGGATCTCTCCCTTTTTTCTCTGCTGTCTTTGTCTTCCTTGTCCCTCTTGTCTTTGTCCTTATCCTTGTCCTTGTCCTCATCTTGCTTCTTCATAGAAGCCAACTTCTCTTGCTCAATCTAAATTAGGAGTATATTAGGTGCTTAACTGAGAAGCATCACACAGAAATTACCATAAACATTTGTTTTAAACAACCAAAAACTTGTGTTAAAACGAACACTTACAGTTGTTTCATAAATCCGTGTAAATTACACGTATTCAGCAAAAGGAAAGGCACATAACACAGCTTCAAGGCTCTGAAGCACTACAGAAATTACAGTGCTATGGGCGGCTTAGACACTTCAGAGAACTCTGGTCAGGTCCTGATTGGGCTGCAGCTCTTCCCCTGTGGGCTGTCAGGGGGACAGCTACACTCCCTCTCACCCCACCCTGGGGAAAGGCAGGAGGGAAGGAAAGTGAAGCACGGTGGTATACTGGGGAAACAAGAGACCCCCTGCGCGCTACACACAACTGTACACATGTTACATGCACTGCTACAAACATGACAAAAAGTTCCTGGTTAAAACTAGGAACCAGTTTGTGCCATCTATAGCACCAGAAAGATGGTGGATCTGCCACAAACGTATGCACGCTTGCTTTTTGTAGAGATGAAAGGGCATATATAGCACGACAAATGCATCTGAGGCTTTGGACAGCGCACAGAGCATTTAACACACTATGTTGACTTAGCAGCCAAGTACAAGAATGGTACTAAACTAAACGCCAATAAACAACCTGTTGATGTTGTGTGTCGTGCCCCACCCCCCCAAAAAAATAACAGGCAGCTAGTCAGTATAAGCCAAATTTAAAAATGCCAACTTCAAACTATTAGTATGGAAATGAATGTCAGCTAAGCTGGAATAGTCAGAACCCAAAATAGCGCATAAAAAGTAACTTTTCAGAAGTCTAGCCTGGAAGAAATACCATAAGATAACTGAAAACACCACTTTAAAGAGTCAATCCCATAGCATTTTATGAAATTAAATATTTATTGTATTTTATCTTGGAAACCAACCACCTAAACATGAGATATTATTAGCAATTCACACACTACTATGCCCAGAGCATCCACCTGACTTTGAAAAGATTCATTCAAATTTGCAAAACTCTTCCTTAGTGCCAGCTAATTTAAGCAACACAAATCTCAATTTGACATTAATATAACAATGAATACAAAACAAACTAGAATCTGACAACTACACTGAATAAAATATAGATGTAGTTGCAAAAGTTACATTAAATTCTCTCTGCTCCTCTTTGGGATAGGGCTTTCACGTTGGGATATGGTTTCATTTTTTTCTACCATATAAAAATTAAACTTCAGTTTGTGTGTGAAAAAATGTACTCATTTCCAACGCACTAAAAACACGTATATAATAATTATGGAAATGACACATTTCCCACCAAAATGGAAGAGCTCTGAAAAGGGCAAGCTTCTGGCAATTCTAATACCTGGCAGCAAATAAAAACATGCACAAGCAACCTTCTTGCAATTCTTTACAATAGGTGTATTAAAATTCTACCTGTCTTTGTTTTATTTCTTCTTTCTTCAGCTCCAGGAAAGCAGAGGGAATACCAGCAATGTTTTCTTGTGCACTTAGCAGCAGTGGCCACAGTTCGCCCATGAACTCTCTAGCATTTTTTCCATTCAAAAACCCAGTCAGGTTGATTTGCATCATTTTGGAATCTGGATTCTGCAAAGAGATATGACAGGAAGAGAAGCAGGTTATTTGAAAAAAACAACATACAGCTCATATAAAATTTAGCTTATAACTACCACGGGGGCTAAAATAGGTGTAACTCAAGGACTATTTTTTTAAAACTTTCCCTAATGATTTTGTATCAATAAGCTCTATCATATTACCAATTTTCTCTCGTGCCTTATGAAAACATTCAGAGTGGCCTGTTAATCCTTTGTGGATTTCATAAATATTTTTGGCTTGTGCAGCTGCTATAAGGTGAACTGAGGGCCTTGATTTTAACACACCAACTACTACAGTGCTAAGAGTTCTTATTATATTTTCTAAACATTTGTCTTTGATTCTGCTTGCTTGAAACTCCTCCTTTAGTGTGATCTGTACAAGGGACAGAAGCAGTACAGTTGTCTAACA